AGAACCTATTCCTCCTAAAATACCTTCAACTATACCACGTTTATTCCTGTGAGGATTCCTAATATCAGTACCAAACCATCTTTCAATACCTAATTCCATGTTAACCAGATGTTCTTTACATTGTGGAAACCTTGTTGAGATTTTCCATTCTGAAATGTTAAAGTTCCACACTATAATAACAAACTTTCCTTCTCTCAAAAGAAGTCTGGTCTGGAAATGGTTAATTTGGAAGGGACTGGCTGGAATAAATTTCTTATCCGTACACTGCGTTCTTTTAGGGGATAGTACAATTACATTTGTATTTACACATTTCTTTGGATAATTTTCTATTGATATGCAGCATTCATATATACCTGTATCATTAATTGATATATGTGTTTTGATGATACACAAAGTTATCATTATCCCAGTTCAAATTACCCTACTTTTATGGATAACATCAGTTTTATCATGAAGAAAACTTCCCAAAAATTCACCATTCCTTTTCCAAGTTAATAATGAATTTTGAGGTAGGTGTATTTGTTTAGCATTCTTAGATCTATCAATAATCTATATGCACTAGGGTCATCACGCTTTGCCACTACCCACAAAGGATTATTAGTAACTGAATTAGCTTTCCTGATGATACCCTGTTCCAAAAATTCTTGTATGATTACTGATACAGGTTCATCAGATTCTGGCGGCAACTTGTATTGTTTTAATGGGGGATGGTCTTTGCCTTGAATATTAACTTCAATATTTTTTAAAACAGTCCAGCTTCATTTTTACCTTGACTCCACAGTTTTTTGTGTAGTTGTACTAACTGTTTCAATTCCAGATTATCTCCAGTATCTGGCCATTTATAGTCAGCATCAATTGCTTCTGTCAAACAGATGCTACCGACTTCACAATAATCTGTTGGGTCAATTACCATAGGCTTACGATTAGCAGAGCCCTGCCAAACAATGCCATTGGCTAAATCAAGTATCCACCCTCTTTGAGACAAAACATCAGCACCAATAATGTTCTCTGATCCTTGACAATACCAAAAATCTATTTCCATTTGCGAACATCCTGGTATTTCAAAAGACACATTTTTACATTTTTTAGCTTGAACATCACCTTTTCCATTGAAACCTACAACTGTGCATACTGTTGCATTAGATGGAATTGGTATTTTCATGCCTAAAACACTTATTTGGGCTCCTGAATCCAATAAAATTTGAAGATTTCTGTCCATTAATTTTAGCTTTTACATAAGGGCGGCCACACTTGTCCAAGAAAATTGGAGCTACATATTCCAGACAATGAAGTTCAACTTCCTTTTCTTTTGCTAGTCATGGTGAAGGTAATAATGGCTGTCTTGAAGTATTGGATGAATGTGAGTTGTTCACATTTCCTCCATTACTAATTGACATTTCACTAATCTCTCTGATCAGAGGAGCGTAGGGTGAAGATGACTTAACTTCCTGTGAACGAATTGGGAGCTGACGGTTCAGGAGAAATAAGTCCATTTTCTTTACCCAAATTTCTCATCTGAATGTCTTTCAAAAACTTCCTACACTGCCATTTCAAATGCCCTGGTTTTGCACAATAGTAACAAGTGAGTGGTCTTTGATTCCCTTGTCTTACTCTGTCATTCCTGCGGGGGGCAGCATTTCCTGTCTTGAATTTATCCTGACTGTCAGTCTTAGGATAATTATTCTCAATTAAAGCAATTTTTGGTCTTACATTATTTAGCTTTAATTGTCTCCTAATTTTGTCAATAATATAGGCAGCGTCATCCAATTATCCTTTTCATTAGCAATCAATAAAGATGCTGGATCAAGGTACTTAAATTTTTTTACAAAATCCTTGACCATAGCAGGGGTCTCATCTTGTAAATTAAAAATCATCCTGTATGCCTTAGAAAATCTAATCCTAAAATCATATGGATCATCATTAATAGTAGCTCTTAAGGAGTCTAAAATTTCCAAACTAGGTGTCTCCTCTCCTGTTGTGAACAGTAATAACTGTCGTAGTCTATCAGTAGCATTGCTATGAATTTCCATATCATCCTCATTCATGAAAGGAGTCTTGACTAACCTACGAGCCATAAAACTGGGGATCCACAACCCAAAAATGCGATTTCTTTGCTCATCAGTTAATTGAAACCTATCACAAAAATTCTCAAAAACATCGGAATTATGGAAAGAATTTTCTCTCATGTTATATGCTGGTATATCCTTCAATATTTTCATTAACTGATCCTGAATCTGTAACTTCAACTTAGATGCTCTAGCAAGTAATTTCTCTCTCTGTACATTAGCTTCACTGCCTACTTCATCACCCCTGGGTGAGTCCGGAATAAATGAGCTTGGGCCATTTCTGATTGTTTTTTTTCTTTGACACCACAGCTATTTGCTTATTTTTTAATATTGCAACATTTTGAGATTCAATTTCTTGCTCAAGATGTTCAATATAGGTACAAAAAGTTTCACAGTTTGCACAATTGGATTCAACAGTATCCTGCATGTCTATACTCTGTAAGACATTTTTGCTATCTGTCTTAACAACACAAACCACATTTTTCTCTGGCAATTCAAACACCATAGAATTGAAAACTCTAACTAGCTTCACAATGTTACGCAATTTTCTTTTCATCTTATTAAACGTAAATCTAGAGCTATCAATATCAACATTAGCCTGCATACATTGATCATACATAGCTTTCCATAAACCAGTATCAGAAGCATGGCTAGCTAAACCTTGAAATTCCAATTTACTTTCATTAGCTAATGAATCAATAAATTCCATTTTTCTACTCACCGAATGTAGTAAATTTCCTCTTTTGTTCTGACTTAGAGACTTTTCTGGTCACCACTTGAATCCTCAGATCTCCACAACCAACGTTTTCCGTTCCAGGTTCTGCAATCTTTCCGAAGCTTAATCAATAGAAATAGTTCATCGCAATCCCCTCTGAAGAAGCGAGGAGAAATTGAAAAAACGTGGAAAAATCGAATGGCTGGCACTCGCCAATAATGTTAGATTTCCAGAGTTATGAAAAAACTCTATTAATATTTCTAGGTTCTTGTAGATGGTTGTGGGAAGAAATCCTTATGACAGCCAGGTCAGTATGAGCAGTGTGACTTTATTTGATCACACACCAAAAATACAAAGTCAATAAAAAACAGTAAATTCAGATATATGTAGCTTACAAGAAAATAAAAATAAAGAATAAATTGCCTTGGATATTAGGAAATAATGTAGTTCCTTTGCATAGCTTAGATAGAAGTTTTCTTGGCCTAGTTTAAGAAATGACCATGCTATTCTTTTGTTCTTTGTCCAAGCATGTGCTTTGAGTAAGAGTGTGTGAAAAGAATGTCTGTGTGTGTGAGTGAATGAAGTGAAGTGTCGTCTATCTGAGAGGCTTCTGCCTCGTAGTTTTGAAAAGCTGCATACTTAAAATGCATGAGAAATTAGATCCTCCCATTAAGCTTTGTTTCAAATTCGCGGGCTTCTAAACTACTCCCAAAATCACTCCTAGTTTGAATAGAAACAGATGTTCCCATTCAAACCACCAAGTCATTATCATGATTGACATATGGACCATGAGAAAGGTTTCTGAAGTTCTTATATTACATACAACTGTCAAAAACCATGATTTATGACTACAATTTAAACTCTCAGACTCATTAAAACGAATTCACAGTATGGTATACATTACATGAGTATTTTAAAAGAAAACATAACTTTAAACCTCTACTGATTACCTAGACTCAAACACAAATAATTCACATCATCTGACCACTTACATACAAAACCTCACATTCACATCCAATTAATAGGGAATATATATATATTCTGCCAGCATATATTTCAAAAACTACTAAAGACCGAATTAAGTTTGGATATTAAAAAATTAATATTACAAGTGTATTGTGATTTATATATAGAGCGCTGTACTTATTATTTCTGTATTTCACAAGCACTGAGGACCCCATATTATAATAGGGAGTCCACACAGTCTGTGCCTAGCAGCTTTTTATATATTTGCTTGGAAATTTTAAATGATTGAAGTGGGCAGAATTTGTATCGCTTTGTTATCCTTTACACTGGCTACCAATGTTAAGGGGCTTGTATTAGGGGGTCCCTGGAGGCTGTCTGATGACCCTCAGTGTAAAAACAATGTAATTAAAACAGGTACTCTGGTCTATATGTTCACAGCAATGAATAAGAGTATAGAGCACATGCAGAGGCCCAGACAACGCAATTTATATCGAATCAGACATGTCCTCACTGGTACTTGTATATTGGTAGCACCAATGGAGATTGTACAATCAGAATGTAACAGGAATAAGATGAGCAGGGGGGAGCTGGAGGCCCTACATTATAGGGGTAACTGCAGCAAGCGCGTACATATACTTTAAACATGTTACATTTGCCAAGATATCATGCGAGTGGATAGATAGTCATGATTTGAGGACTGCTACATCCCCTGCTACATTTTGCCAAGGCAAAAATAATTTCTTAAGTGAATTAGGTAAATATAGCAAGTTGATACTGTGCACAAAACATTTGAGTGAGTGAGTATAATATAGGTACAATCTCTCTCGTTAAACAATATAAATTAGTAAAATAATAATTTGAGTGAAATCCCTGATTAGCAGTGCAGCCTAGAAGAGAAGTGCTTTGCCTGTGAGGTTTTCCTGTACACCGTATCATATTCCAGAGTCTGTGGCTAGACTGCAGCAAGTCAGTTCTGGAATAGATGTAAGTGATATTCTGAGCCTGATGTGTTGTATATTGGAAAGCTCAGTCTTTAGGAAGTGTCATTGCTAGGGGTCACATACCTGACGTGTGATGAGAATAGCGGTATCGTAATGCTCCGGATGGCGATCACTTGATGGGTTGTACCTCTGCTGCCACCTGCAGAAGTTCCGTAACGTCAGACCACCGTTGTCAGACACTTCTGGACCAGCATCTTCATCTTCCACTACCAGAACTTTTACCACGACTAAGTTCACAGAGTTCCTCAGGCTGGGGTGCTTGTAGATGCGAGAGGCCACAGACATCAGTGTCAGGATATGGAGCTAGAAGGGAACATTAGATTATTGCCAGTTGGTTTAATGTTGCCATTTACAGATACAAGTACAGTGCAGATAGTTGACAATTACACCTATACATGAAATAACAGCTCAGCCTTCACCATATGATACTTAACATTTATTTAGGCAGAGAACCTTCATTTCATAAATGAGACTTGAAAAACACTGGTATGTTTATCTAATAATAAACAATATATTTTCACTTTTCTTCTATGTGGTATCCAAAATAATGAACATCACTTTCTATGAAGACCATGCAAGAGTCCTGCAGAGGATTGTCTGTGAAAGGTCTCATTCATCCGGGTCGTGATATAGCTAGTAGTAATTAGTCACATTCAACTGGAGGTCTCTTAGATTATACAAGCAACTTCTTTAGATCTGATGAGAATATACTGCAAATGCTGAGGTATTTTCCTTACACTCATCAGAACTGCTGGAATTGGGCTCTATGTTGAAGAGACTTTTCAGCAGGTACCAAGGTTTTCTAAACACATTCCAATGTTAGATTTAAGTTTGACTATGTTTTTTCATCTTTTTGTTTTTTTTTTTAAACTGTAAATTTTTATTAAAGGCCAAAGCCATTTTTAACAATACAGATATACAACACCATGGGTGTGGATGTTGCATGTAACATAGACAATATATAAAACAATAGAAGGTTAAGTGACAGCATGATAAAACTGTGTATATTAACAACATAAAATAACATGGACCTGCAAATGGAATAAGCGTAATACAGATTAGCGATGTAGGGGGTATCATAAGTATACAAGGGTGTACTACCAAAGGGAGAATGATCCCATATTTACCAAGTGGACCTAAAGTGACCTTGATAGTCGCCTGATAAAGCAGTGAGGTATTCCATATCACTAACTTCAGAAATCATTTGCAATAAGTGGCTTAGCGTAGGGATTTCCACCGATTTCCAAAATCTAGCAGCAGTCAGTATATGAACCCCTAGTTTTTTAGAGTGTTTAGGAACACCCCTAAACAGGAGACCTAAAAGGTAATGAAGTGGATCTAATGGAAGAGCAACATTTAAAACTTGCTCTAAGACCTTTCTGACCATATCCCAAAAGCTCCAGATCTGAGGGCATAACCAAAAGATATGTATCAAAGAACCTGTTCCATCCAGGCATCTCCAACATCTCTCAGATAGAGTTGGGTTAATAGCATGTTGGGCTTTTATACTAATTTATCAATATTTTATATAGGTTCTCTCTATAGGCGACACATCGAGAAGTTTTAGTAGCTGTCTCCAGATCATCTGCGAACATTTTAAACAAATTGGACATTGAAGGTCTCCCTCCCATTTCCTCATATAACGATGAGGACACTCTTCAAAACAGTCATAATTGAGAAGTAATTTATACAGGGAAGATATAAGGTATAGCTGGAAGGGGCCTCAAATAGCTATTCTCTTTGACTAGCTTTTTTAAAAAAACATCAGCTGAATAATGTAGTATATATTGTAGTATATATTAATATATTATTATGTAGAATATATTATTGTACCCTGTCTGGGTGTATCTGGAGTTGCTCTGCAGATGATGAATTCATTTATGACAGTTATACAGAATAGTAAGAGTGTGATTCATTCCTAAGATTTGTTCTTCAAAAATGCTGCTTTCCAAACCATCACATCCAGGAACACTCTTGTTGCAGAAAGATTACCCGGGGATAAAAATGATATTTTATTTATCATTGATGACCTGTGCTCTGGGTGTATCCTTTTATTACTGCAACTTTCAGATAGTCCAGAGAGTAAGACAGCTTATCATGGCCACAGCTGTGGTACATACGTGAGTAAACTTATTAGACCAAAAGCATCTCAAGATATTAACAGTAACTGGTATTCTCTTTGTATTTTTACTGGTTGTCATGGTTTCTTAAAATGACTCAGAATTACAGTGAAATAATCATACTTTGTTTCAATCAGATGTCTAGACAAAAGCAAGCGAGATGGCCAAAACTGTTGACCTACATCCAAACTATTTAATTTTTTCCTACACTTTGCAGGTTGTTTGTGTCTTAGTTCGTGTTGCAGGCTGTTATATTTTGTAACCCTTTAAAGGTTTAGTCTTCCCAAAAGGGGGAACCTGCTGAGTCATCCTATGTTTTTTTTATTCCTTTTGAAGACCCCAGTACAGATATCTACCTACCATATTCCGTCGTTTTGTTCTTTGACTCCTTTGGGGTGTTCTCACTCCTCCTGTTGCCTTCTGTATAATAATAAGATGCATCCAGGAGTGTGAGATACCTGATATTGACCAAAGGAGGTGTGCAGACCCGGATGCAAGGGCAGAGATGTCACTGCTAGTCTGCTAGAGTTTCCCAAATGACAAAGGTATTTCAGGTGGTTTCATTTCAGCTCTTTTATTTGAAATCTATTTATATGCACTTTAGAGCCTGCTGGTTTACTGTTATTCTGGGATCCAGCACTAATTCTCTACCGGGCTGAATGACACCCATTCATTCAACCCAATTCCTGTAAGTGCAGGGCATCAAGGAACCATCCTCTAGGAGTATGCCATCAAGCTGCCCTGGGCTTATAGGAGAATGTTGAAGGGAACGGCACCACATAATGTGCTTTCATCATTCAAGACTGCCCATTAGAAAACCCATGAGGTTATGTGACTGCACCAAAGCTCCCTGCAAAAAAGGTAATTGTGCAGATAAAAAATAATTAATTAAATGCTGTCTGTGTCTGTGTGTGTGTGAGGGAGTGATGGGCAAGGGTGAATATAAGTTTCCTGTATCTACCAAAAGTAGATAGGCAACATTGGGTTGCCTGACCCTTTCAAGGACCACATGAAATAACAGAAACCGTATAATTGGTCCAATTTGCGCATTCCTCCTACAAAGTTATCCTTCAGTCAGAGTGCGTCTTCCGCAGTACTTCAGAATGAGTCAGTGTTGTATGTACAACCGGAGTAAGGCCCATGGGTGGAGGACTGAACTGCCCTCCAGTAAACCTTATATGGAAAAGTCAGTGATAATGTGAATCAATACATGAAAAAAAGACAAGTGAATGTCTGTATGTTGCATCAAAGAATGATAATTCTAACCTTCTCATATCCCACCTAGATGCAGAATGATGAGATTCTGTCTGACATATGTGTGAAAATGCTTTGTTTTCTCCTTGTTTGTGTAATCTCTCACAGAATAGCTGGACTCTAAAACGATTGCCAACCATGTTCTGATTAATGACTTCAATGGAAAAGCACAACACTCCTTAGCAGGTTCTTATAATCAGATTTTACTTCTGTTATCAAAACTGTTTTGATTTTCCACATTAATGGAAATGTCTGAGCTAGCCACCTCTAACGGACTGTGATGTGGCACATTATGTGCACTGGGGAAGACTGGGAACTGGCTACCAGCATGAAAGGTGGGGGTTGTCTTAAAGACTATGTTTTATAAAAATACACCTTTATACATATATATAATGAAAAGATGAATGTAATGGATGAATAGTTAATGATGAAATACTAAAAAAACCTTCATTCTTGCTTTGTAAAAATGATATGGACTCATTTCAATACAATGCTAAATAAAACACCATGCCATTGACATAAATGATCCTAATCATTTCCCTTGCTTTAGGGCTTGTTTACACCACCTTAGTAATATGTGGTAAAAAGCTGTGTTACTGCAGACACATTAGTGCACCAAGCACAGCGCAGTGTGTTGCAGTGCCATTCATTTTAAATACAACTCAGTGGATCTACATAATGACACTGAGCATGACATAGAAAATATAAAGCAGCAGCAATTTTTTCCTGTTTTGGGGCCCATTGAATTTGCCACAAAACAACTGCTGTCAACACATTTTAAAAGTTTTTCATTCTTCCAACACCAACCTCATTTGCAGCTCTCGATATTCTGCAAAGTCTCAAAAAGACTGATCAGGGCCACCAGCCCATCATATATTAATTTTATAATTTAAGGTGGGAAGTATATTTCAATTTGGTAGAAGTTATAACAAGGCTTTAATTGTTTATAGTTTTCCCAAAAATGTCCCCAGTGTTTCTTTGATATTCTAATTGTACTACAAATGCTCTTCAGACCTCCTGTCCAGTCTCTCCCCTGCAGGTAAGTGACCCCTTTCGGCTTATTAAAGTAATTATACACCATAAATCCAACACAGCACTATGAGGGTTAACTGACAGGAAGCTGTGACCCATCTTGCCACCCGCTGGCCTTTCTATAGCAATTCCCACAGAGCTGTAATAGGAAGAGAGAGGGAGGGTCCTGTGGAAAGAAAGGGATGTTGTGGGGTGGTAAGAGCACTTTGTCTGGGAACGGTCTGACTCTGAAACTATAGTCACCCAGGTAGGGGGTGGAAGGGCATAAAGGATGTCGGAACAGTTCACTGAAGTCTTTGTCCTGGGATTAAAGAACACTTTTAAAGGCCAATTTTGTGGAGTGATCTACGATGACAAATCTTTTTCTTAAAGGCCACATAGTGCTATGATGTTAATTACACATTGCATGTATTTACATTACACAGGGCACAGCAATGGTATGGAAAGTTCCACAGCAAAATCGGCACTAGAGTACTAATGGAGGCGGAGGTCTCCCATACAGTTGGAAATCTCCACAATTGGACATCAGTGTATTGATAATGACTGTAATATACACAGGTGTCCAGCTGTTCTGTACCTTTGTTCCTTAGTCCTCTTTTGGAGGTCTGTATGAATAGCATGTTAATCAACTACATAAAGTCTAGCAGGACCATCTGGGAATGAAGGGGTTTTCAAGCGTGTGTGTTGTTACTTTTAGATGCCCCCCTTTTTTCCGATTCCTCCTTCTCTTCTCTTCTCTCCTTTACTTTCTTTTCCTTTCCTATTTATGTTATAATTAGCTGGGGGAGTCTGTTTTGTGACTGCTTTTTGATGCCTGCCTTGCCCTTTCTTGAGAACCCGTGGAACCGAACGGTGAGGTGTGGATTAACACCCATGAATGTGGTTGTGTGTTTTGGG